TATCTCATATTTCGCACAAATATATGTATATGCCGTTTGGAGTATACTCATGTAAAGTTAAGTCGCTTCGCTTTCAACGCCACAATTTACACATTTTGAATTATTTAAAATTCTTTCATAAATGAAGTTTTGTATTTTCCATCTAATATTTCGTGTTTGTCCTTGAACTGCTTTCTACATGTCTGCTTTTGAATAATAATTACAGGTCTCTGTAATTAAAAGTGTCAAAATTTCTGTGAGATATGGGTTCACATTACTGCTGCAATTAATTTATTCACATTTCTCTTTGGGCGCCTGAATTGCGTTTCGAGCGCCACCGACCCCACAAGACTGAACAAATTAGAATCTGGTGGTTGGCGTTGACGAATGTTGCAACTGGGAAAATGTGTGCCTTAATGTATATTAAAAAAAAAATAAGAGTATAGGTCAAATTGACTTGCTGACCAGCGGAGACCAGCTGAAATTATATTTTCTTGTTAATGAAGTTTCTTGCATTTAAGGGAATATCCTTTATTTAACAGCCGGTTGACTGCATTAATTATTTTAACATACTTACTAATTTTTTTCTTAACTTCTTCGCTTGCAGTTTGAATAAAAAGAACCTGTTGCTGGTGTGTAATAACTTCTACGTCGGAATGGGTATCGCTTTAATGAGAATGATTTACCTTACAAAACGCTAAAAGGACTAAATTTTCTAGCTGATATGAGACAGCGTCAACATAATGCAAGCATACTGATTGATAATTACCCGATTTCATTGATAATGTGCACCTGCAAAGAGAAGATAATCCAGATGTAGATGACAAAACGGCCGTATATAGAAATAGTTAGTGCTGGAGAATTGGACCTGAAAGTTTGAGAAATGGAAACGTCATCTAAGAGGCATAATGTAGATTGTTGTGATATTGGTTTTTAAATAAAAATATATTTTTAATTACTTAATTAAAAAAATATAAATTATTTAAACTAATAATAGGAGCAATTGTTTTTCATTATAATATGGAACTAAGCTTCCTGCTTTTCAGAGTTTAATTCAGTTAATATCATCATCAACTGGTTAATTGGTATTGTGAAACAACATTTATATATTTCATATTTCACAGTACGTGTAGGTTTAAGACCATATATATTTATATACTTGTACTATTGATATAACCGTTTAATAAATCTCTTAATTTAGAGTGTTTGATTTTTATTGTTCTAAAGCAAATTTTATGTGTTAAAAATGTAATGGAAAATTACTTCGATATAAATTGTTTTATTCGATTTTATGCTGCTCCACTATTGAATACTTGTTGCCTATTAAATAGTCGAAAAGGATTTCTTAATAAGTCCATTAAGTTAGTGTAAGGTACCAATGCTCAAGGTACCAACGCCAAAAACGTTGAAATAATTTTTTTTATAAACTTTAAATTAAATATTTCGTTGAACGTTATGCATCTGCTCATTCAATTATATTTGAAATGGTGTGACGTGAAAGTGCAGTTTATTTTTTTGTTCACTTTCCTATTCGGTGGCTAGTCCACAACCTCGATTTATATGATATTGAATTTCGAGTAATGAACCTCTAATTATCTAAACGATGACTATTGACATTGAAAAACGTTACGAAGGAATTTATATGAACCCTTTTTTATGGCGGTGTTTGGAATTGTAGGGTCAATCAATAATGTTATTGCACTGCTTAAGCGTTTTCGATTGGTTTTATGTGAGTTTTTGAATCGGTGCAAGTCCTTGCGGTTATATTTCGTAGCAGAAAGCTTCACCAACAACCGACCACAACATAAGACACTTAGAATAGGCTTCAGCCAAAGACAAAGTAATAAACAAGTCTAAAACAACAGAATCAAAAAAACGAAACGAACATCCTTCCCGCTAGTTTATCTATCCGCCTGCTTTCGTTAACCAAACCATCATGTGTTGAAAGCAGCACCCGGTTACAGGTTCAATAAATGGATTCAGTAAATTTTTATTACCACTGCAGTCTATCATATTGTTCAAGCAAAAAAATTAGAACAATAACAAAAAAAAGTATTAAAAAAAATGATCACTTTTTTTCCTAATATTTCGCATTTTATCAATTCCACCGTTGTGTTGTATACCACTCAGAATTTACTGTTCTGCTTGGTTCTAGTGGTATGGTTGCGATATGGCAAGTTTTTCCAAAGAAATGTGCAACCATATGCTTGGAATTGGACGTCTCATCATGAAATACCTATATAATTAACTGCTGTATTCTTTCGGGCTCATATATATAAATCCCCGATTCATCGCCTGTAACGATGTCATAGACGTGTTTCGAAACACCGTCATCGTTTTCTTTTAACATTTCTCTCGACCAATCAACACGAGCCTCTTTTTTGAGCGATTGAAAAATTGTGTGAGATTCAACTTGTACAAATTTTTTTTTCAGTCAAATATTCATGCAATATTTAATGTGTCCTAATCCTATTAATGCCCATAGTTGTCTTAATCACTTGGCGATATTGTAGTATCAGTTTGCGCTTAGCATCAATGGTTTACGGAACAACAACTGATTTTGGACGACCTTCACGAAATTTGTCTTGGAATTATCCATTAAATTCACCATAAAAATCAGGTTGCATAGCTTAAGTGGTGCTCCTCTCATCAAGTGCCAGAACGTGATTATGTTATTCTTATGTCTTACAAGGTTTTTAAATTTTTCTGTGAAAAAAAAATTTGGTTAACTTTAAGTTTACACTGTATTTCTACTCATACAACTAAACTCCCAAAAGCACACTAAACTTTCTACCTTCCCGTAAAATGACTTTACTCTCACTCTCTTAACCCAGCTGTTGCTCTTCCACGAATTCGCTCCGTTTGTGCTTACAAATCATGGCGAATTACACTTCCAATCAAATTAAAAAGTTATGTACCTGTTGTTTATAACTTGGGACCAGTTCAAAAAGCGTCAAAGCGCAAAAAACAGCACACACAACGCTTAATAAGAACACGCATAAGCACGAAGAGTTAAATAGCGATCAAGCGAAATGTAGACAACAGATAACTTAAACATATTGATGGCCTGCAGCTAGGCGTTCGTGGAGGATGCTAAATTGTCGTTCGACGCCACCATAAGGCAATCGAATATTAATCATTGCATACAAAATTCATTCATCGCAAACTTTTTTATTCTTTTTTGTATGTTTGAGAAACGCGTATTTGTGCGCAGGTTTAGGTTTGCTATAGATATATATATAAATTAAATTGTAACGATTTTTTAGATTTCCTTAAATAATACATTCTAGTTTGTGAATTCGAGGCAAGCAGTGACATTTACGGTGCACCACCTACATTTATTCTAACAAGTAGCCGCGGGTATTTAGAATTACATTGCAACTTAAATAACGGTATTTTATAAATCATAACGTATATATGTTCACTAAATAACACCAAACTTTTGCTATCATTTCATTATTAAGCTACACAGCTATCGACAAGCTGGTTAACTTCAGGTTCAACAAACAGTCCATCGTGTCGTAACTTTAAAATAAAAAACTTGTTTTATAATTTTTTGGGTTTTTTTATCATTTCTTTTTTTATTTTAAATCTATAAATAAATTGTGTATACTTTGTGAATATCATTTTTTTCTCATTTTTCTGAAAAAAAGATATATTAATGAAAAATGAAGGTATATTATAATAATCAGCAAATTATATTAGCATATAAATAAGTTAGAATATTCCTTTAAATGCAAGAAACTTCATTTAACATGAAATTATATTTTAATCCGGTCTCTGGTGGTCAAAAAGTCACTCTCACCCCTGTGCACGCATTTTAATTAAAAATACCTTAGGGCACGAATTCACCCTGTTGCAATATTCGTCAATGCCAAACACCAGATTCTAATTTGTTCAGTCCTTTGGGGCGATGTATCATTTGGTGCACAAGGCTGCAAAACGACTGCAAGAAACCGAAGAGAAATGGGCATAAATTAAAAACACCCGAAATATGAGGTCATAACCTATGGAAAGTCTGACGCTTTTAATTAGAGTGACCTGTAATTAATATTCAAAAACACACATTTACATATTATATATTATATTAACTTGGTAGTTGTTCACGACAAGAGCAAATATGAATATGAGATGGATAATATGAATATTCATATCTAAAAGAATTTAAAAAATTAAGTAATGTGTAACATGTGACACAAAATATTCTCATTAAATTTCACTAATATATCACATATTGCTGTTGAAATATTCTCGTAGAACTTAGAACTAGAACTTACCGATCCAAACAGGGTTAGATCGCCGAAATAACAGCCCTTGGCCGGATAAAATCCGGGTCAATTTCGATAACGTAGAACCGGCTGTTGTGGGAAATATTCTCATCAATTTTATTAGTATACCCAATACACACGGTCAACCAGAAATAATAATAGACCAGCCATATACCCCGGGGTTCACATATTTGGTGCCTGGGCCCTTAAAAAGATATAGTCCGATTTCGACAATTTTTAATGATAACGTAAGATGAAATATCTTAAGGACATTATTATATAAATGTTCTTCCAATAATTAATTCCTATTTTTTATTCCCGTTTTCTTTAAGCGAATGCCGAAAACATGGGCGCATACTTTTTGGGTTGCCAAATTCGCTTTTAAGGTGATGAAAATCTGCTTGGTTCCTTCTTAGAGTGGTGCAGTTTGTTGAGTTCCCTTACAAAGCGTGGAAGGTTCCTTTATGACGTGGTGTAATTTCATTTTTGAACTTGCGCATTACGATGTTCCGTTCTAGGAATTTACATTTTAGTAAATTTCCAAGTTGCACCTTCGCAGTTCATTAACATTCTCTGGTTTTAGTTTTATTTCGCTCTTTCTGAGTAAATTTTTAGCATTATTCCTCTTTCTTCTAGTCAGCAGTTATTCACTTCAGAAACCAACTTATATTAATTGAATAATGTCTGAAATCTTTCATCTATCATTCGCTCTCATTTAATTAAAAGACTCCTCAAAAAGACAGTGACACACATATTCCAAAAAAAATTTATTTCAATCTTTATATTTTATATATGCTTATGTATGTACATATACAAATGTTTAAAAAACTGTATATAGGAACAGTTTTGACCAGAAATTGGCTTCTTTATGAAATGCATATTTACAAATGGATATGGATTCGAATAAGTGCGCACATGAGCAAGAAATAAAATATTTACAACTTGGTTATGTTCTCTCGGAATCCCCGATACACGCCACATCGATGGTAAGTGTTGAATTTAACGTCGCATTGCTGCTTCTAATACCAGCCTCTACGTAATTGTCTAAACTCGTTTTTGACACCTTGTCATTTCGATTCTCTCCCAGCGCCTGGGTCAGTGCGTCAGTGTTGTAGCACAATGTTAAGCTAATATTCAGGCCGTCGAAGATTTGCACAACATTTGGTTTCAAATTATAGAAGATAATTTTTTGGTTGCGTCGTTTAAAATCTTCGATCAGTGAGGAGATCACTTTGGCGGCAGTGTAGTCAGCACCATAGATGTAAGTGCAGTCGATGACCACCGGCAGTGTGGTTTTATTGCCAAACTTGAGCACCAGGTTACGTACAAACTCAACGGAAGGAAAGATGAGACAACGATCCGGTGTGAGTTTGAGGAATTTTAAGCCATCCTGTGTCTAAATACATACAAACAGGTGAATATATAATTTATTTATTTGTTGTATGTGGCCAATTAGTACCTCCAATGTCTCCAAGCGCACTTTCGGACGCGCTGAGTGATATAAAATAAACAAAAGGTTTACGCCAATTGCCGCGAGAATGCCCAGCTCCAATGGCATAACCAAGCAAGCAATGAAGGCAACAAAGTAAGGTATCAAATCAGTTCCTAAAAGCAAAATCGCCAACATGTTGTAAGAAGTGAAAGATATAGTTTTCATTAAAAACGAAAAATAATTTCAACTTACGTTTACTGCGCCACATTGGCAGGATCACTTGATACTGCACTTGGAAGATCACGGCCGAAATAATGATGGACGCCAGTGCGGCTTTCGGAATGTAGTAGAAAAACTCAGTTAGATAGAGCAGAGCGAAGACCACGATGGCACCGATATACATATTGCCCAAGGGGGTGCGTACGCCACTGGCATTATTAACAGCCGAACGTGCGAGACCGCCGTTGGCACGATAACCTTGGAAAAATGAATTCGCCACGTTCGCTACACCCATAGCGATCAGCTCTTGGGCTGTGTCAATAGGTTTCCCTTTCGCTGCAAAATCATAACACATTTATTACAAAAAAGCTAATTAAAATTGTACTCATAATCACCGAAAGCTTTACAAGCGGCGATATTCTCCAACAAAGCCACGAGTGGCACAATGATGAGACCATAACCCATATTATTCACCATCTCAAAGAAAGACTCAGCTTCAATTGCTGGTTCACCGGTGGTTTCATTGCCTGGCGTTCCCTCAATGGAGAAAGGCGGTAGTCCAAATTTAGGCAAGCCGACGGGTATGTAGCCTGTCAAACGGAAGTAATTCATACCCCGTTCCTGCATGTACATGCTTGCTGCCGCACAAACGATTACCAGAGTTGCATTACGTGAGACGCTCAAGAACCACATCAACTTGGTCGCCATAACATGATACCACTGGCGATTGTTCTTAGGGCCCACCTTAATGTCACCTAAAGAGCGCATCAACATCAAGATGACAACACAACTACATCCGAGAATCGTATCCGCTATGCGCATATTCTCTATGTCACTGATCATGCTGATCCAACGCTCCAGAAAAGTTGTGCCTTTGGCATTCTGGACGCCAATTATATTTTTTATTTGTGATGTGGTTATGATCAGTGCGACGGCGCTTGTGAAACCCGCACTCACCGGCCCTGATACAAATTCTATTATGAAACTTAACCGAAAGAGCGCCATGAGTATTTCGATAATGCCCGTGAGGAATGTGAACAATATCGCTCTTTGCCACACACCTTTGGCGAACTGGAAGACCATAAGCGATGCGATGGCCGTCGAACCGACTGTGCTGTCCTTGCAGGTGCCGAATATGACGTAAACAAAACATCCCATAAAGGCGCCGTAAAGACCGTACTATGACACCAAAAGAATTATAAAATTATAAGATTTTTTTAAAACAATTTATATAGTATTGTACAATTTATTAAAAAAATATTTACAAGTAGGATATTTGTGTTTTTGGTGAATTAAACTCTAAAAATGTAAAGTCTAAATATATCTTAATAGTTTGTTTTGTACGATAACTTTTCGACATTTTAAAGGTTATTTCATGATGTTACTTTCATGGAAACCTATTCGCTATTGGCAAGAAAATGGGTGCATATTTTAACGATTGTTTCGATAATTGGCTTTCCGAAGCGTGTGCAACTTTGACATCAAAATTAATGAAATGAATCGACGAAACCGAAATTTCGTATGATTGGCTGTTACAGTATCAGAACCTTCAACAATATTCACATTTCAGCCGCCAAGCTTGCGTGTCCGCCATTAAAATATTCTAAGGTGTTCTTTGGTGCGTTCTTAAACAATACTGAGCCAAGCAAACACAAAACTGTCTGAAAAGTTTTCTTAGTACAAAATCTTATACCCGATAACATTTATACAACGCGAGATACAGACAACTACAGCCGTCATAATTTTGCCGGCCAAGCACTGCCAACTTAGCTTTTGAGGAGCACTTCAAAATATGCCGCTTCGACAGCAATCACAACGATCTAAATAACCCTCAGCATTTTATGAATTTTTAGTCATTGTTAGCACCTTACTACTAGAAAAACCTACCTGTGTTGGCAAGCCAGCAACCCCAGAATAAGCTAAACCCTGCGGTATGACCGTTAAGCCGACAGTTATGCCTGCAATCAAATCACCAATGGCATCGTCACGATTGTAATGTGGCAACCAGTTCAAGATCGGCAGTCGTTTGTAAAGGGTCTTCTTTCGAAAGACATTCTTTAGCCCGGTTGCGCAGAAATCTCCAAAGTTCCGCTTCCTCTCAGATGTTTGGTGATCTGTGACCAGTATGAATTCGGTGGATCCATTAAATTGTGTCTCGACCGGTTGGTCCACTAGTGAGCGTGTTTTGAATTCTTCTGCTGTTTCTACACTTGACATTGTGTTCACTTGTTTATATATTTCGTTCGATTTATTTTGATTTGTTTCAATTTTTTAATTTCCCGAAATTATTTTCGGTTTGTGAGCATCTCTTTTCAAATTTAATCGCACACGTCCGCACGCGCCGAGTGGCATAAAGAGAGTAAATAGTGAAGTACAAAATTGACGCTCCAAACCTTTGACGCCTTCAGTTGGCAGAGCTTGTTGATTAAACTCATGGCAAGTTTTGCACTGTGCTCCTATTTAAACGAAGTGAGAGCGGTGTCTCCATCAATAAATCTGCAATTTGCTCTATGCATGTATGCGTATGTTTACTCAATAAATTGCTAAAGTAATCAGAGATCTTTGAATGAGTGAACGAAAATGTTTGTCATTTATTAGCGTCTCGGCTAATTATCCTAATTTCTAATAAATTAATAATAACTATATTTAAAAATAATATTAAAAAAAAAACTACCAAAAGAATTGAAGGGGGAGAGAGAGTTCTTTTGATGATGATGGTGAAAGATGGAGCCGAAATATTATATGGTATAGTACATAAATATTTTTACTATTAAAGGTTAATTAGTAAAAAATAATAATAGATTTAAAGCTATAGTCTAAAATTAGTCGATTTTGATTTTAATTATTTTTCCTACAAATCTTAAAACTAGCATGCAAACAACACTACTGACTCACTTCAGTTAGGAAATTACAACAAAATTCCCTCAAAATATTTATAGATCATTTTTTTTTATATTGTGCTATTATTTTTATAAATATACGTCTTTTAAACTTTCAAGGAAAAATAGAGCTAAAAATCTAACAAACGAGGGACGCCATGTTGTATGAGCAACAATTAATGAGTAAAAATGCAATTCGAGATCTTTTCTTGTCTTTGATTTGCGAAAAGTTTTTGCAGTTTCTTTTGTTATTATTAAATTTGATAAGCATTTGCTTATTTTCAATAACTGGGACATACAAGTACAGAACATTTTCAGTAAATTTTTCAATCATACAAAGTCATGATTTCCTTATCATGGCACCTTAAGTGCTCTAAGCTAAATAGTTAATCGATCACATGAAATATGTGGAATCTAAAGAATTAGTTGACAAAATTAAAAAAAAAAGTTGTTCCCAGTGTAAACCTGAGCTTGCCAATGTTAGTAAATCAGTAATAATAACTAAAATTTTCCACTTACACACCGCGGTTTCTTCACCATGCTTTGATAAGTCAATTTCGATTTAGCGTTTTATAGATAAATACAACAAACAGCACGTACTTGTAGACTGTTTATATTAAACATTTTCACTTATTAATAGTAATTTTTTTAACAATGCGTATGTTGTGATATACATGCCTACATCTATATTGCACACGCTGAAGTTGTGCGCATGCGCAATTTTCAATTTTCTCGGGCGATATGCTTCTTTTCCATATAATTCTGAGTTGCCGCTGTTAGGTTTAAGTAAATATAGAGCATACAAAATAATTCAGTTATTTCAATATATTTAGTTCACAATTTGCTTATAAAAAGCCGCGCATTTCATTACCATTTCTCAAACATGGAGCAGCCACCAATCAAATCCAGTCAACTACTACGCACAGTAGAACGAATGAGTTCATAAATACCAAAAATGGCTTGGACACGGATTTTTACTCAGCCCAGGACTGTCAACTCGGCAGTATACCGCAAAACAACCAAAAAAAATTTTATGGTTAATATATGACATACTTTAAATGAAAAACTCCAAAATTTTAACAAAATCTTTAAATTGTTAAAAAAAAACAATGTATACGCCAAATTTTCGGAAAATACTTTTACATCATAATTTTTGCTTCTCGCATTTGCTTGAGGTATTGTGTGAATAGGCATTGAAAGAGGAGAAAGCTTAATAACAACTGAAATCTAGGTCGCTAAGATCTATTTAACTTCACAACTTTAGATCAACACCGTTAATAGTAACTTGCATTAGAAAAGTATATAAAATAATTGAAATACGACAGTAACACACTGAGAGTTCACAGTGAGAACGTAACTACAAGTATAGCTGTTTTTAATTCGCCGTTGGCGTCAAAAATGTCAAAAAATTTACATGCAAATGCAACAATTAAGTTAATCGAATTAATTTATTTAAGAGAGTATGCGGATACCTCATTAAAGTGTTATAATAACCGCTTTCTTCAATGCCACCAAGTTACGTTTTACACGTTTTAGACCTGTTTTACCATTTTGAATAATTCATACGACAAATTACTTTTAAAAATTAATACAAATATTTTTTTTCTATATTTTTTTTTTTTAATTAAAAGTTGAAATAAATTATAGTGGTTCATCGAAAATGTAAGGTACGATAGTAAGTGCTTACGCAATTGCTTTTTGCCGCCAGTTTGTTTGAAGAGCTGGCATACTTTGTACAATTCAACACTCTCTAACACTTGGCGATTGCCAAACAACTTACGTTACTCTACTTACATGCGCTCTTATGCACTCATCTTACAGAAAAGGTGTTTCATCAATGAATATATTTTCATCAATTGATTAAATTTGTAAGATATTTTACATTTTTACTTACACACATGTACGAGTACAACTGCAAAGCTGATTATGTAAAAGTTTGCTATAGCTAATGTTTCCAAAAAGTGATTTCTTCTTTCAGTGTAGACAGCTTTTCCTAAGCGAATAAAATTTCAAAGTTTGAAATCACTGCATATTTTTAGGCGATAAAATTATGTATGCGTACTCAATCAAACAGCAAATGCTGCAAGAGTTCCATTTCTGCAGTAAAATCAGAGAACGTAAATGGACAGGAAATGGTTCTCTGGTAAAATGACATACTAGTCATAAAAAATACAGATTTCTGGACTGGCATGAAACACTAAAATGAGGTATTCAATGTGACTAGAGGTCAATTGTGCCTTGGACCGGTAGTACAAAACCTTTATTTGACTTCGACGATTCGATAAATTTAAATATATAAACATATAACATATATTAATAACTTGTATTTGATAGTGTTTTCAATTCATAGTGTTGTTTTGTTCGAAATCTAACAACTAACTACTTTTCACTGCAAATACTACTTCTACTTGTACTACTCCTTACATTGCAAAATTACCATAAAAATAAATGTTGTAAACAATTTTTGTCACGTACATATCTAAATATTTCGTGTTTTAGTCACATTGAAATGTTTTGGTTTAGGAATACAAAGTTACTGAAGAAAAGGTTTTTGAACCTTATTTTACAATTTCTTTCCTAACTCTTCCTTCGTAACATAAACCAGAGAACATCATTCAGAATCTTGCAAAAGAAAGCAAGTAAGGAAGGGTTATGTTCGGATGTAACCGAACATTTTATACTCTCGCAAAGTCAAGTTGTATACTCGTTTTAGATTTCTTTGTGGATCTTGTCGCCTTGTTCTATGTTGACCGATATAAAGTCAGCTATAGGCACTGGGGTCCACATATTCATTACCTAGGGGCTTGAACAGTTTTGACTCGATTTAGACAATTTTTGGTCACAGGGTGGCATACTTCAAACGCATTAATCACGCAAAGTTTTACCCCGATACAATCACTTTTGCTTGATATGCATAGTGGAACGTGACAGAATAAGATGGAATTGAAAATGGTGTTATATGGGAAATAGGCGTGATTGTAGCCCGATTTCGCCCATTTTCGCACTATGACATAGAAATATGAAAAGAAAGTTATGCATCGAATTTGGTTGAAATCGGTTCAGCATATCTCAAGATATGAGTTTTCACCTAAAAGTGGGTGAGTTTGCTTCCAGCGAATTTTGTTATTATAGCATTAGCGGTTTAGCAGATATGCACACTAAACCTATTAGGGACGGGACCACGCCCACTTTAAAAAAAAATTTTAACTGCAGATGCCCCTCCCTATTGTGATCCTGTATACCAAATAACAGTCTTGTATCTTATTGCGGAGCTTAGTTATGGCAAGTTATTTGTTTTTGATTAATGGAGTTTTGTGGGCGTGGCAGTGGTCCGATTACGCTTATCTGCAATACCAACCGTCTCACGGTACAAAGAAACATGTCTACCAAGTTTCATAAAGATATCTCAATTTTTACTCAAGTTACAGCTTGCACGGACAGACGGACGGACGGACAGACAGTCACCCGGATTTCAACTCGTCTCTTCATCCTGATCATTTATATATACATAACCCTATATCTTACTCGATTAGTTTTAGGTGGTACAAACAACCGTTAGGTGAACAAAACTATTATACTCTGTAGCAACAGGTTGCGAGCGTATAAAAATAAACAAATTTAGATGCTATCACCGACGAACGTGATCTGACTGCGCTACTAAATTGGCAAAGAAAAAAATTGTAATCTTCTGGATATAAAACAAGAAAAAACGTTGCACCGAAGCTACATTACCTTTCACCAACAAAAACGTTTTCTATACAAAAATTTGTTTTTGATTGGTCAATTTGTAAGATAGCAACAAGATATAGTGGTGCGATCAAATTGTTCGGAAATTGTAGCATTGCCCTCGACACTTATCCATGTGAAGAATGTATCTTGTCCAATAAAAAAATTTTTTAATAAAATTTTTTTTTAGTATTTTGCATTAAATATTAAAGTAACGAAATCCGCAAAAAAATATGACTGATCGCGATTAGATTAAGCAAAAAAAAATTTTTATGACGGGCGGTCAGCGCTGCCGGTATAGCGCGCATTGACTTATCTTTAGAGTAACTTAGCAATTATAAATAAGGAATAATACTTCATGTATTAATTAAAAATATCGTATTATACTCTCGCAACCTGTTGCTACAGAGTATAATAGTTTTGTTCACCTAACGGTTGTTTGTATCACCTAAAACTAATCGAGTTAGATATAGGGTTATATATATATAAATGATCAGGATGAAGAGACGAGTTGAAATCGGGGTGACTGTCTGTCTGTCCGTCCGTCCGTCCGTCCATCCGTGCAAGCTCTAACTTGAGTAAAAATTGAGATATCTTTATGAAACTTAGTAGACATGTTTCTTTGTACCGTGAGACGGTTGGTATTGCAGATGGGCGTAATCGGACCACTGCCAAGCCCACAAAACGCCATTAATCAAAATTAAATAAATTGCCATAACTAAGCTCCGCAATAAGATACAAGACTGTTATTTGTTACACAAGATCACATTAGGGAGGGTCATCTGCAGTTAAAAATTTGGTTTTAAGTGGGCGCGGTCCCGCCCCTAATAGGTTTAATGTGCATATCTGCTAAGCCGCTAATGCTATAATAACACTGGAAGTAAATGTTTTTAGAACCTCTACCTACAGTGTGAAAATAGTTGAAATCGAGTGAAAAGAACGCCCACTCCCCATATAATGGTACTGTTAAAAAATACTAAAAGCGCGACAAACCAAGCATGATAAAAACGCCAGAGACATTAAATTTTATCTCTGGGATGGTATCAGATGACTTTATAGGAACCGCGTTCAAAATTAGACAGTGGGCGTGGTACCGCCCACTTTTAGGTGAAAACCCATATCTTGGGATCTGCTTAAATGATTTCAATCCAATTTGGTACATAACATTCTTCTCATATCTCTATGTTACAGTACGAAAATGGGCGAAATCGGACTACAACCACGCCTATTTCCCATATAACACCATTTTCAATTCCATCTGATTCTTTCACTTTCCACTATGCATAACAAGCAACAATGATTATATCGGGGTAAAACTTTGCGTGAATAATACGTTTAAAGTATGCCACCTTGTGACCAAAAATTGTCTAAATCGAACCTAAAATGTTCAAGCCCCTAAGTACTAAATATGTGGACCCCAGTACCTTAAGTTGACCTTCTACCGAAAATATCAGTCAATCCACAAAGAAATCTCAAACGAGTATACCATTTGACTTTGCGAGAGTATAAAATGTTCGGTTACATCCGAACCTAGCCCTTCCTTACTTGTTTTATGATTAATTTTATTTCAACAAATGAAAGATAATAAATCAAATATTTTTTCATAAATAAAACAAAAAAAGTTAAATAGTTCTTAAATTAATTCTTATAACTTATACGTATTGCTTTATTTCTTTTTTTTAGCTTTATTGGTAACGATTTTAATGTCTTAAAGAGCTCTGTAATGATGATATTGGCGTATATTTTTAATGGTTACACATCGGTCATAACGTAATTTAAACTTGTTGTCATGGGGGTCATGATCTTCTTGAGAGCAAAAACCAAAGTTAATTTTTTTAAATGCATTCTTACCCAAATAATGAAGTTGCATTGGTTATGTGCTTATCGCTTTCCCGTTGAAGACTTGCACGAAAAGCTTGCCTCTTAAAGCTTCCTGCCAAACCATCACATGCTCCTTTCCCAGGAGAAGTAGCAAAAAAATTCCATTCCGCGTCCGCTTTAAAATCTTTTTTATGCTTTATTAAATTCACAAAATTATACTTATTTTTGTACTGAGAAGCAGCTCCGTCCGAAAAATAGGAAATCTTTTTTATTTTATCCGCTCCAAACTTATTTTTTAGAAATTTTGTCAATTTAAAATTAAAAAGGTGAACTGAGCTCGCGTCGTGACTAACTTTTTCCGAAATTACCACGTAGTTTATATGTTTCATTTCTTGATTTTCTCTATAGTACACAACGTAAGGGTGAATTGTAGCCTGACTGGTATTACAATGATGTGATTGGATGGCATTTTGAACAGTAAAAATATAATTTTCAGGAAAATCAAGGCAAACGATAAATTGTTCATCCTCAACAGATTCTTTCTTGTCAGTAAAATATGACGCTTGAGATCGTGCAAGAAAATCATGTCTCAACAATTCAGGCCATTTTTGTCTTAAATCATTAATAAAATCTTCTTTTGTCTTCGTTTCTTCAATGATTTCAGTTCTAAAAAATTCAAAATAAATTAACTGAATTCAGTAATAATAAAAAAATGGATAATCAAAAGAATTAACAATTTAAACATACAAAATCTAATAATTGCATAATTAATATGTAGATTGCGTAACAAAATATAAAGAATATTAATTACTCAGTGGAGTAAATATAAAAATTATTTAATGACAATAATTAAAACAATTTGAAATTTTGATGGATTTTACACACACACACATTATGAGTTCTACTTTTGCCAGCAGATATATATTCCAGAGGTCGGAGTTTTTGACATTTGGATAGTCCATTTTTTTCGTCAGGATAAGCTTCTTTAAATTTTTTGTGTATTTCGTGAACATTATATAATAATAATCGTTTTTGTTTTTGGATTTTCTTCGCATTTTCAATCACCGAAAGATAATCTTTCATACCAGGCATTACGCGGCTGACATCATCGGATAGATAGAAAGCTTCAATACGATCGAGGGTTTCAATGTTTAGAGATTTTCCTCTCTTAATCATAGGTTGCGATGCGAATCCTCATTTTTATCGATTGTTTTTTTTTTGCAGTTGTCACCATTCGTTTGGAAACTTTAAACTCTTTCCTTATCATTTTAATCGACCAATCTGTAGGAAGCGTAGTCAAAACCTGAATTTTATCAGCTCTACCAGGTTTATCATTGAAAGCAGATTTAAAGTTATTAAGTAAAAGCTCTTTTGGATCAATTTCACTATTTACATTGTTAACTGACTTCTCAGGCTTGTTGACTTCAGGACATTTATTCACCGATAATTCACCAAGAATTTCAGGTTTTCGGCCTGAATAAATAGTCCGTTCACATGAATTGCACATATAATTCCCAATAAAATCTTTAAAATCATGAGCGAGGCTTTTTGTTATTAAAACTAAGTTTTTAATGACTTTTTTATGATTTTTTTTTGATAAATGGATTGCAGCATTTCTTAACGAGGCTCATGATTAATTATCAACGAAATTACGAATGGCTCGAGATATACATACTTGTAGATACTGGGGCATAAAATATTAAGGTGCTTTCATATTTATTTCTTTTAACCGCAAAGGATTTAGTGCGAAAATCATTTTATTTAAAACAAGAATTGCAATCTTAATTGGATGTTTTATAATGAATAGAAAAAAATATAGCGTAGAAAAATTATGGATTTTTAATACTTAAAGAATAGGAAATTCCAGTTAAAAATTTGGCCTTGAAATATTATTACCGGGTATTCAATACATTCTGGTGGATTAGGAAATTCCCGTCTTAAGTATTTCTAAAACATTCATGGTAATTCACTGCAAGCAAAATGTGAGACCGTCATCCCAACATACAAATGAAATATGCAACACACTCTAAGTGTCGCGTTGCCGAACCAGAGAACTTAAAACAACGAGAAGGTGCAAATTGAATTTTGTATGATGCTCGATTGGTTGGCTGAAAAATCTGAAAAGTCTGGATGAACCGCACAAACATAAACCGCTATACCGGCAGCGCTGACCGCCCGTCATAAAAAATTTTTTTTGCTTAATCTAATCGCGATCAGTCAAATTCTTTTGCGGATTTCGTTACTTTAATGTTTATTGCAAAATACTAAAAAAAAGGGGAGAAAACATTAAAATTTTAATTTCTTAACTTAAAAGTTAATTAACAATTTGAAAAAAAGAATTATTTAAATTCATACATATTTTCTCAAAGTACAAGTCTTGAACTATAACTCCTGAAAATTTCATTTAAAAATCATCAATAGTTTTTTAATTATTAATTTTTTAACTAAAAGTAGTAAAAAATTTCAACTACTACTTTATGAAAAAATACTCAAATTCAAATTCGATGATCAAGTGGAATCTGGGGGGTCCACTTGACGTGTTTTTACTCATATGTATATATATATTTTTTTTATATGGTCTCCGACGTTTTGATTATTTTAAAAATGTAACTTAAGACATAATTTACATAATATAACAGTACTCGTATTTCACGACGCTTCGGCAGTAAGCGCTGAGTTCAATGTTTCGCTACTACTTTTTGTACCAGCCTCTACATCATTTTCTAGAGGCGGTTTCGTCGTCGCGCCATTTCGATTCTCCCTCAGCGCCTGGGTCAGTGCGTCAGTGTTGTAGCACAATGTTAAGCTAATATTCAGGCCATCGAAGATTTGCACAACATTTGGTTTCAAATTATAGAAGATAATTTTTTGGTTGCGTTGTTTGAAATCTTCGATCAGTGAGGAGATCACTTTGGCGGCAGTGTAGTCAGCACCATAGATGTAAGTGCAGTCTATGACCACCGGCAGTGTGGTTTTATTGCCAAACTTGAGCACCAGGTTACGTACAAACTCAACGGAAGGAAAGATGAGGCAACGATCCGGTGTTAGCTGTAGAAATTTGATGCCATCGTGAGTCTGAAATGATTATTGAGTTCATTAAATAAACAAAACTGTCTAATAGTTGTCTGCTATAATGAGTTCGCACCTCTAATGTCTCCAAGCGCACTTTGGGTCGTGCTGAGTGATATAAAATAAACAATAGATTCACACCGATCGCAACGAGGATGCCGATCTCCAATGGTAAAACCAAACACGCAATGAAGGCAACAAAACAGGGAATCAAATCCATACCTGTAAATAAAAGCCATCAAATTACTCGAATACAATTTAAATCTGATATTTAATTAGTATTGCTAGGGTTAATCTGGGATATTCTGGGTTTTATCGATATCGATGGAGCTTACGTTTACTGCGCCACATTGGCAAGATAACGTGATATTGCAGTTGGAAGATCACCGCCGAAATGATAATAGCAGCTAGAACCGTTTGTGGGATGTAGAAAAAGAATTCCGTTAAAAAGAGCAGAGCGACTATCACAACCAAGCCGATGTACAAATTTCCTAACGGGGTGCGCACGCCACTGGCATTATTGACAGCCGACCGTGCGAGACCGCCGTTAACGCGATAGCCTTGGAACAGTGAATTCGCTACATTTGCAATACCTATCGTGAGCAGCTCCTGGGTTGTGTCGATAGGTTGTCCCTTTGCTGCAAAAATAATAGTCGATTACATTAAATAAATATAGATAAATATATTGAATTAGAGATGCATGCGAATGCAGTATTTATAAACTTACCAAAAGCTTTACATACGGCGATATTCTCCAACAAAGCAACGAGAGGCACAATGATTAAACCAAAACCCAATTCGCTCACCATATCTGTGAAGCCCATAGCTTCAATAGCCAGCTCACCGGAAGTGGAATTTGCTGGTGTTCCTTCAATAGAGAAGGGTGGTAAACCGAACTCAGGTAGTCCCGCCGGTATGAAACCAGTGATGCGGAAATAATGTTTACCCTCCCTCTCCAGATACATGCTTACAGCAGCACAAACGATCACCAGAATTGCATTGCGCGAAACTCCCAGGAACCAGAGCAATTTGGTTGCGAAAACATGATGCCATTTACGATCGCTCTTCGGACCCACTTTAATACGTCCTACGTAACGCATTATAATCAAAATAACAACACAACAGCAACCAAGTATAGTGTCAGCCACGCGTATGCTATTAATGTCCTTGATTATGCTAATCCAACGCTCCAAAAATGTATTACCCGACGCATTATCAATACCGAGTATATTTTTGATTTGTGACGTAGAAATGATCAGGGCGACGGCGCTGGTGAAACCCGCACTCACCGGACCCGATACGAACTCAATTATGAAAGTCAGCCGAAAGAGCGCCATGAGTATTTCGATGATGCCGGTGAGGAAGGTAAGTAATAAAGCGAGTTGCCACACTCCTTTGGCAAACTGAAAAACCATAAGTGATGCGATGGCCGTCGAACCGATAGTGCTGTCCTTGCAAGTACCGAATAAAACGTAAACGAAGCATCCCATAAAGGCGCCATAAAGACCAAACTAGCGGAAGGAGAAGGTGTTATATTAATATATTAGTCAGATATATACACATCAGATAGTAAAGCTTACCAAATTTTGTAAGTAAATCAAAGGAACTTAGATTTAATATTAATTCGAACTTAGTCGCATGATATCGCATCACATCATTTGATTTGAAATTGTTACATTCTTAATCAAAATTGTGGTTCATTGTGCAATTCTAAAAAGTGCTGTACCAATCTAAATTTTTATTAGGACTTAACAACCTAGAAGGTCCTTTAACCAGTTAATAAAAATATAAATATTTGATTTATGGCAAATTTAATAAATACGCAACTAAAAGCTGAAGCACTTGCGTCTGAGACCAATGCCTACAACTGAACTCTGAATTTTTAAACGTTTATGTAAACAGGAGTGTAGCCTAACGGCAATGAACGTTCAAAATATCATTCTATATGCTGGAAATGCCACGTTGGAGGTGAAGGAATAGACTACAAACAAAGTGGATTAATAAATTGAAAGAATATAAAGCTGAATGATGGTCAATACTTCATATAAGTTTCCACAAGGGAGTGTGGTCATTGAGAGATTAATCGCAGGGAAAAACAACTTCATTAGAAATTAAAAATAATTTGAAATTCATGGAATTACTTCTTTTATACGCTGAACAGGGTATATTAAGTTTGCCACGATGTTTTTAATACTCAGAAGGAAACGGCGAAGACCCTATAAACTGTATATCTCAATGATCAGCGTGACGAGCTGAGTCCAGTTAGTCACGTCCGTCTGTCTGTCTGTATATACGATATGGAACTAAAATTTTGTACACATTTTTTCTCCCCAAGAAGCTGCTCATTCGTCGGAACCATCGCTATCGCACCACTATAGCATATAGCTGCCATACAAACTGACCGATTAAAGTTCTTGTAAGCAACCTTTTGTATTTGTAAAGGGTGTTATAGCTTCGGTGCAACCGATGTTAACTTTTTGTCTGCTTTTTTTTTTAATGAGGCTGAAAATTGGCGGAAATGTCAGGAAGCTAGGTATGTTTAATTAATTCTTGTTTGTTATTAACAAACATTCTGATGAGTCTAGTTACATATTGACATACATAGGTACATATACCCGTGAACAAACATGCCAGGTGTGCATGTGCACTTTTTTTGATGTGTTGATTTGTTACTATCAAGTACTTTGCATGCAGCCACTTTAGATAACTTTTATTTATTTTTATTACGCATATTTTACAGAATGCCGAGCGCATTAGCTGTCTCATATGACTTACATCACTGTAACTCTAAATAGAGCCAAACTTATCAAGGTCTAAGTATTACGTCTATTATAATAATTCAGAAATTTTTTTGACTATAGCGAATGGAGTGTGCATTTATCCTCACAAACTACTGATGACTCTAGAAGACTATGAGGTTGAGGTTTTAACAGGCTTTACGCCGATTTTTTATATTCTCAAAATGCACTTTTCTGAGTTAAAAATGTTTTGCAAATTTTGTAACTATTTTATATTAAAAGTTAAATATTGCACGCGTCATTTAAGTCTCTCGATCTTTCGCATAAAAATCAGTAAATAGCATTAAACGTCACTTTATGACGGGGATCAAGATCAACACATATTTCACCACTTATCTGGGCAAATCCCCCACAGACATGCACAGACACGAGCGGGAGCCTGCACTTTAAAAATTCAAAAGTGATTTATGATCAGAGATACACAAAAGTCACATACGCAATAATAAAGTGGATAAAGTGTCTATTCCAACACTATAACACTGTTCCGTATTTTCGTTGGCAAATAATGCACGCTTTCGTGTTTACCCAAATATTGTATATTTATTTTTCATGTGAAACTAACCTGTGTAGGCAAGCCAGCGACGCCCGCGTAGGCTAAACCTGCTGGGATGACCGTTAAACCGACCGTTATGCCTGCAATCAAATCACCGATGGCATCGTAACGTGTGTAACGCGGTAGCCAGGTCAAAATCGGTAAGCGCTTGTACAGTGTCTTCTTGCGGAAGACATTCTTCACGCCGGATTCAAGAAAATCGGCAATGTTGCAGCCCTTCTTCGGTGATTTATGATCGGTAATGAGTACAAATTCCGCAGAGCCATTGAATTGAACCTCTGCCGCTTGATCGATTTGAGAGCGCGTCTTAAACTCTTCCGCCGTTTCAACACTTGACATGTTCCGTCCGAATAAAATATTAAATAATTATTAACTACTCTTTATTTATGAGAGTCGCCCGTGTTTGAATTGAATTGGTTTCGATTTCGAGGTTTTTTCAGTTTACACACTTCAATATGTGCTTGTTTGTTTTATTACAATTAAGTTTTATTTTTAAGTTTCATTTAAGTATATAAAGTTTTCGAAACTAATTTAAGTTGTAGGTTACCGCACGAAACGTCTGCGTTTATATCTAGTTATTAGAGCAGTGAATTCATGGAAGTAGCGATTCGAGTCGTAGGTTCTCCGCACGTCCGAACGCGTCGAGTCAAGTGAAGAGAGTGATTCTCCACAGTGGGAAGAGTGTCGCCCTAACCGTTGTCGTGTAGTTTGTGTGCCAAGCGCGAGCCTCCGTAGAAGAAAGCTTGTGTATCTACTTGCTGAAAGTGGTATTTGCTTAAAACAAATTATTGAGATAACCAAACTCATTTGGTTGACTTGGCAAACAAGTAAATATGCGCAATCATCAAGTGTGATTGAAAACCTCCCCGACGCGAGTTATTAATTCTTCACAAATTACTTGCACTGAAATCTACTGATCGTCTTAATATCTCATCATATCAGCTTAATTTAGTTGATATTGAACTTATTTGTGGCGATATTATTGAATTGATAGGTGAGATAAAATGAGTGATATGACACATGATGATATTCCCTTCAAAATATTATATTAGTTATTTGCTTAGTGGAATATAATAAATTTTTCAGTGTTCCTTGACTTTGATTGATTGAAACTATTTACTAGATCTTACACCTATAAATACTTTGCGGAAACCTTTGAGGGAATACTACAATAAAGACGAGCGAATATATTGCTCGATTACTTCTTTCTTAAAATAAAGGGGCGATTTGCATGTAAACATGACCCCATGAACCCTGAAACATGGGATAGGAAAGATTGAAAATGGAGAATACAATTTGATCTGCCAAATAAATGTCGTAACACTGTCTCCATAATTCCTCAGAGTAATCCGCTAGAAATCACGCGGAAGGAATGAAATTATATGCAAGAAGCACTATACTTCGAAGTATTACGAAAATATGCAAATGACAAACGATGTCCTGAACACCGCATTAACGTCTGGATAACAGGTGAAAACTTGAGGTAGTGAAGCAAATATGAAGTGGTGTGACCTCGAATCACATAAGAGAAGTTGCTGTTGATTCACAGTGCTTCCTTTAGGCAAATATATGTGGAAAATCTATAGTACAACTGTTGGGGTATGACTTTTTATTTCAACAACTGCTCAAACGTAATAGGTAAACAATAATTATCTATATTACACCATCCAGTGCCTCTGTGTGGGATCAACACATTTTCAAAAGTCATTTCAAGCACATCTAACGTGCTAGGGATACATTTTATTACAGCGTTTGATGTTTGTTCATTCAAATGAAGCCAACTTTATTACTTTTCTTTTATGGCGGTGAATGATATTTTCTGCTGATATTCCTTCTTATGTGTGGGTACTGTCGTAAATGCTCGTATATATCTCGTATAGCTATCTTAGTGGTTAATGTAACAATTTCAGATTCAAGCTAATATTGACAAACCCACAATAATGGGAAATATGTAGTAGCTTAAGTACACAAATAGTAGTTTGATGGAGCACTAAATTATTTTGTATACCGAGAACTTTATATTACATAGATATTTCATCTTGTTCGTTTCGATATGAATATTGAAAAATAATAAGCTAGACGTTGCTACATATCTCTAACATTATGTTTCCTTTTACTAGTTCCATTCCTACTTCGTCCTTTTATGCGCAAGTGTTTATATTATGAGCTGTGCAACGCTGCAGGAAATTTCTTGAGCCAATTTGCAGTTGAAGACAATTTTACTCTAGATGCTGGATAGCTGATGATGTTTCTGTACATTTTGGCTACTAAATACTGATCTTAAACATTTTTTTATTGATTTCTGCATTTTCGTACAATGTATACGAGTATATTCTTTTATTTTATGTGATTTATGTAGAAAATGGTAAATATTTGAAATTCAAAAAAAAAATCTAAAAATAAAAATTTGTGCGTTCTGCATTTTAGTTCACTATAGTAAGTCAAATTTAATTAAAATAGGCTGCTGATGATATAGTAAGTGCGAAATGACAGATTTCTTCTAGAAATTACTATGTTATTTCATTATTACTACTCGGCTGTCGATCACATTTTGCAAGGGAAAATCCGGGAATCATCTTCATATAGATGTATGTACGTGTATCTAGTTGTTCCCCGTAAAACGGTAAGTGAAAATATATGCACATTTTCATTTGTTTTGGACCAATTACCCTCTATAACGTTAAACACACAAAGCCACCACCATGCATATTTGAAGATGAATATACTACATATGTAGTAAACAATTTGTGTTGTACGTACCTATGTGTTCTCTGTACATATTTACTTAAGTCACAAAAAATCCAAGGGCTCGGAAGAGTGACAATCAGATTTAAATCAAAGAAAAATTTAATTTGTTTAGCACCTGTGGTTTGAAAAAGCATAGCACAACTTGTGTTGTATTTTAAGTTATGTTTAAAAATTGTCTTTGGCCATCTTTATAAAAAATAAGTAAGCAAAAAATCTTATGAAATTCGCATTTGTACCGTTGTATGAAAACTGTGCTTGCGTCACAGTAGTGCGATGATAATAGAATGTATTACAAGTATATGTATACATATAGCCATATCAGGTGTACTTGGGATTTGCGGATTATGACGGCATATTCAATATTGTTGCTCTTAGAAGATAGTTTACGCAATAAAAGAACAAATTTATGTCAGTGCCTCAGAACTATAATACTTGAGATGAATGAAGCAAGCGCTAATTTCGAGTGCAATCGATCATTATGATGTTTCGATCAACTTTCGTTCATTGTACGCCGATTTCATCATTGATCGGTTTCGACCTTTTCAAATTCTAAATAATGTGAACTTGGATTGTAGTTCTGTAATTGCACTGTGCAACCGTCGCCTGTTTATTGGAACTAGTCAATTTGTTTTCGAGAGATTGAGTCATATGTAATTTCTCCGTTTTTCGAAATTAGCCTCCAAAATGAAATATTTTTAATTTCGAAATTTCAAACTGAGCTTATTTAAAACATTACTTTTAATCCCTATATTTAATACTCCTATTACGGCTTTCAACTGCATTCAACTTCAGATCAACCCGATTCTTTTTTGGTATTACGAGCTTCAACTATTTTCAGTCAAAGTTTCATTGGTGTTGCCAACCTAAAAACTTAAGATTTAACAGATGATTACATAAATAGCGGACAATTTTTAAACGAAAATATTTACAGTCTATGTATTTGTACAAAATAACTCATTAAAGTAAATGAAAATTATAAATAAAATATTTTTTTAACCATTTTCTATTCATATTTTTTTAAAATAAACGCAATAATGTTAATATTTTGATACTGCGGTCAACCCCACTGTCACAAAGTTGAAAACTACCACAAAATATTTGAAGTTTAACAACACTTCAAACGAATTTCTTTTTGATAGTTGAGTTGTGTTAATATCAATAATCAGAATTTCACAACTTCAACCAAAATGCAGTTGGGTTGAAAGCCGTAATAGGAGAACAAGTTTTTAAGAAATAAAAAACGTGGATCTTATCGCTCTTATTTCAATGGTAATTTTATACACGTTTAAGCTAAAAATAAACACAGATATGAGTAGACAAAATAGTGCATTCATATTTTAGACTTTGATCCAATACATACGATATAACAACTGTTACGTTATATATGTAAGTTTGACAGAATACTGTTATACACCAACGAAATAAGAGCGTAGATTATGCCGCTATTTTTATTGCTGTAACTACTTACTATGATTAATAATAATACTTTTCAATAAGCCTACTTTCGTACTTCTAAGGTAACTATTTAGATGTTGGTGGCTAACTTCGTAAAAATATTGCTAAAATATAGAAATATATATATATATATATATATATATATTAATTTAAATAAGTATTAACCTATATCATATTTTCAAAACATAAAACAAAAATTAAAAAGTTTCTTTACATTTTTAAGCGTTTTTAAATTTTTTATTTCATTTTTATTTTACAATTTTCATTAATTATAAGCTTTCATCATTAAATATATATATGTATGTTTATATAAACTTTTTATTATTACACTTTACAAATTTGCATTAAATAGTAAAATCATATATTCAATCATAATTCAATCAGTTGCAATATAAATAGCTCGATTGTTAAAACTGTTTAATTAAGATTATAAAATAGCATGATACTTTTTTTATTTTTCATTTTCAATTTCTTAACGCTCGCCATACAAAAGCTACTTTCTTTGATAAGCAATTACAACTGGTAAGTGCTATGAATGAAGAGAATAATTGCCAGTGCTTGCACTTTTAACTTTATGTACGTATATATTTATATGTATATGTGCATCTGATGCGTGTGCAGTTGTTGTTTGTGTATTTGGGTGGTGAACAAATGTCTGTGGTAAGTCTTCGGATGCAGTAAAATACGTGTAACACACTAACGAGTTTTCTTTTTCTTACAAATGAAATTTAGTATTCTTATGTGAAGTTGAGAATTCAATGAATTTACCGTTACGCCATTCGCCAACCGTTTTTGCTTGAACCGAAGCAAATTTGATTGTTATTTGTTGATTTTAAATTAGTTGAATTTTAAGGGCGGCTATAAAAGCTCATTAATTCATACAAACGTTCTTTTCGCCTTCCCTTTTTCTCTTAATGCAGAAGTTTAATTAATATTAAAGAATTTCTCTATACTGCAAAGGTAGCGGGGTTGTGAAAAAAATTAGACATATACGCAATAAACTTTGACTTTCGAGTGCTTCAAACACCCCAACATTCCCGAGGAAAACCGCGCGAAAATGCAAATCATGGCGCATGTTTTTTTTTTTTGAAATAGACTCGAGTGGACTTTGTTGGGCGACATGAGTTGCCATTTTGGTGGATTGACAGCCACTTATCACTGTAAGCTCACTAAAATGTGCATTTTTTGAAGTTTTTATATAATTATTATAGCTGTCTTTCAAGTTTTTAATTTTCATGATTTATTCGCTTGAGACATCACCTCGGAAATAAAAGTAAACAAACTAAATGTACATACTCGAAATTGCATTGATAAGGGGTAGTCAACAGCTTATTGGTCGTATGTAAGTGATTGATTGTAGAGATGGTAGGTCGAGTTAAGCTTCTGGATATTTTCCACTTTTGAGTGGCATAAGAACGCATCTATCGCATTAGCTCTTGACTGTACAATATATATGTAAGTGTATATATTTTTATAAACTAACCATGCATTTAGTATATTAACTGGCAGCTTCTGTTAAATATGCAATTATATAGGTATATGTGTGTGTGAGTGTGTTGCAAAAGTTTCACTATGGAAATTACATGATTTTTTACAAATATTTAGCGTTCAAAGGAACAAAAACGCAACAGAGCGCATACAATTTATAAACATAATTACAATTAGACACCATTTTGTGTGCGATACAAATGAAATAACCTCAACAATAAACTAATAACATAAATAAAACTAATTCTGCGCATATGCGCGCTTTTAAAACATAATTCGATAGCATTTAAATATAAAATAGCATTTCAATTGCACATACATATGTATATATGTATCTATATATGCAAATATGTGTGTAGGTAAGCTGAGAAAACAAACAAACATTTATATGTTATTCCAAATCGCCTGTTACATAATACCTGTACGCATTTTTTTTAAGCATTTTCATTAAGTATAATAAATTGTGTGTGCATTTTGCTTAGTGTGCGGTATACGCAGCTCTACACTTGTGTTACTGCCCATGCATTGGTGCCAGATGTTGGTTTACAAACTTTAATTCACGTGTGTTTGAATTATAAATGCTGCATATGTAACTTGTGGGCTATGTAGGATTATAATTCATGTAAATTATTTGCTTTTTGAAGTCGTAGGTTTGTGTGTATAAATCCGATTCCACTTTGATCTGGTGCGGTTGTGCGCTGCATGCCTTCTACTGCCAAGCGCCCACAGTGTAGTTGCAGCTAAAGTGACCCAGACGTCTTAGGCGGCCACCTGGGAAAAATAACAAAAATTAGTTGATTTCGTGAATTTTGCAAGTGTGTTTATATGTATATGCGTGTCTCTTTTATATTAGTTTGAGTGAAGGTAGGAAAAACTCAATATGACGCACACCGACAAATATTGGTCAAATAGAGTAGTATTTACTTTACTGAGTACTTAAGTCGCTAGTTGTGACAGTCTGATTTAGCAGAACAATTACAGGTTTGAAGGGCTCTCAAGTTATGTCAACTTGTCGGCATTTTCATTAAGTATGTAATCACTGGAATGAGGCGGCAGACGCAATCTGTGATTAAATAACATTGAGTTTCTCATCAAATATATTTATAAACTAAAAAACTATAAAAAACAAAATAGTACGAAGTAGGAACACACTCCTGAAGAGAGCTGCTCACAATTATTAGCTTTCTCTTTTTTGTTTATAAAGAACACGCTCAAACTAAAATTCTGTAGATTTTACATTATTGATCTCTCATCGTTTGCGATCGATTTTTTAATTATTTATGCTAATGGCGACATTTTATGGAAACTCGATAAAAACCTATTCTGCGGATGGGCATTTTTCACATAACTAATAAAAAAAAACCTTAAAATTTTAAATGAGTATTAAAGTAACTAATTCCGTTGCTTCACTATTTTATATACATATATAGATATATCTTTGTAACAACCTTTTTTTTACTCGCTGTCACACTAGCTGTGCCCCTATTATGCAAACTATTCATTTCATAGTTAGTAGTTAGGTGCAAAAAATCAAACCTAAACTACCAAAGTTTTGTAATTATAAAATGAGACGATCGAAACACAAATAACGTGACTTACACTATGCTATGGTTATATTTTTTAGACGCCGAAAACAAATGTGACATAAAAATATAATATTATATATGTAAATATGTATGTGCAACGGACACTTTTGCGACGAATTTTAATATGAAGTTAAACAAACGAAAATGTACACTGATTTACAACTTGGCTCACTTAGAACAGCTTAAATAAATATTGACCAGTTTTATAATTACTAATTTATAGTTTGATAATTTCCGAGTTCGCTCTAGTCAGTCAAACAAAGTCAAAGTTGTTGTTTTCTTGCATATAAACTAGTTTCAACATTACATAATCTTTTTACAGCTAATTGCTAAATTTCCTATTAAGTTAGGAATTAGGCTATTTTATACAACGCCATTAAAAATGATTCTCATTATGTTTCAGCAATATATGTATGCATATATAATAAAGTTAATTTAAAATTTCCATACGTACTTTTTTGCACAATTTAATTCATTGGGACTTTTCTTGCTTGATTACACCCTTTAGTTTTCTTGAAACTTATATTGTGGCTGCTGAGGTCATGCTGGTGGTGGTGGCAGTTGAATAGTAGTTGTAGGTAGTTGTAGGTAGTAACAGTAGTAGATGAAGCGAGTGATTAGTCGAACAAATATTTTTTATTTTGGTGGTTTTCGGTTTTTGTTTTCATTGCTTTTAACATGATTTACAAACATTCATTCAATAATAAAAAACAGTTTTAAAAGTTCCAGTTGTTATTTGTTTTTTCTACTTTTTTTTTGTTTCAACACACACATATGTTTGTAAGTAAGTAATAGCGAATTATGTATATTGTAGAGGTTTTTCTGTTTGTTTACGGTTGGCTTTGCAAATTAAGGTGAACAACAAAGTGGCTAGTTGGTTGGTTGGTTGGTTCACACAGTTTATTTACGCTGGTTGAGGCGATTTACACGTACTGGAAGTAGAGAAGAACACGTGGAAGAGAGAAAAAACCAAAACAAGAAACATTGATTAGTCAAACATGTTTACAACAACAAATTGTCGGTATGCTAAGGAGATGTAGGAAATTTCAGTTAATAAATAACAACAAGAAGTAATGGCATTCAATTAGGAGTAATCTTATTTTAGTAGTAACATCATTTAAGAGAGTTCTCACAACAAGCATCATTATTCATTACGCGAGGGCAAGTTATTGGGATGAGTTTTAAATATTTGTCCAGCGCATTCATTACAATTTATTTTCAACTTTTCAAAATACAAAAACACTGAAGATCGACGTTGAAGACTCTTCAAATAGATACGCCAACATTTTTAGCTTTATACGCGCTAGTTGAAAGCTTAACTGCACAGGGTGGGTCTGTATGCACTTGTTAGTAGGCAAAAAAAATACAGTGGTGAACATATGCATGGAACCACTTGATTTAAACGCAATATTAACTACATAAATTATATATTAAAATAACAAAAAAAAAAGAAAAAAAAAAGATTTAAGTTATTAAAAGAGATGAAAGCGCTTACTTAAGCGATTTTTTTTTTCAAGATTAATGCGTTTGGATAACATTTGGTATCTGGGTTAGTTTCACAACATCTTAAAGATACAAGTTATATAAACGTAAGTACGCAAACACGCAACAACAGTTACAAATTTTACGAACTTTTTTTGCGCCCGACATCCACGCCAAACGACAGTCATAGTGTATATGCTGTACATACATATGTACTTAGATATACAGGTTTTTCGGTGGATTTGTGTATTGTGCAACAGCTGCTGCATTATATTTCTTCGGCATTTTTGTTTATAATTTTTGTAGTTATCGATATTATTCTTAATTATGAGTAAATATATGATTTTACTATTTTGTAAGTAAAATTATAAAGATTTATGCTTTCACACATTTTATGGTTTGTTCGGTTTTTGGTTGTTTTGTTGTTGTGGTATTCGTGTTAAATGTTTGAGGTCTGCTATTAATCCTTTGGGCTTCAGCCGAGTACGTTGTGAGTTTTTGTTTATAGGTTGGGAGAGTTAATATTTCACTTAATAATTTAAATCGCAGTTTAATTCCTAAATAAAAAATATATAAATTGCGAAATTTTAGAATGCTCAGATTTTTGTTTTGTGTTTTGCATGAGTTAGCAGTGTTGTTGCTGATGTTTAGTGTGACTTTCAATGGCCGGACAGCTAGCTGAAGTGAAGTGCCAAATTGTTTATTTTATTTTTTTTTTCTTTTTCGTAATGTAATTTTATAGAAAACAACTTTATTTAATAGTAATTATAATTCATTACATTTCCAAAAATATTTACGGCCAAACGGCCATTTCAGTTGGGTCAAAAGCACTTCACTGCAGCTAAAGAAAGTGCAGTATTGTTGATGAAATTTTTGAGTTTTTTGACTGGATGATGTACCGACAGGCGCTTTCTCGCTGAAGTTCGAACTATTGTTCGAAAACATGCTTTTAGTAAAAATGAATACTTAAAATGATGAAATACTCGGTCAATATATTAGAGCATGCAAAAGGAAAAAAAATTAAATTAAATAAAAACATGGCAGTGTGTCAAAGTGGAAATGTCTAAATGTTAAAACTACAGTTAATGCAGAAAATGGTACTTCAGTATAAGGGTCTAAACAGTGTTTAAAACTACAGTGAGTTAATAGAAATTTCAGAGCTTGCTTTTAGACGGATAAATGGGGCTTCAAGCGGGATCTCGAAAGATGGCCAAGCCAAAAATAACGGCAGTTTAAGTTTGCATAGTATGCATTAAGGGCAAATACAAATTTTTTCTAGGCTAAGTTGTGCTGTAAAAATTTATATAATACATTTAAGTGTTGGCTACATTTCTGGATGTACAAATAATGTTAGCAGCCTCACTTGCCCGCCTTTTAATGCATACATATGTCGGTAGTAGCGGCAAACGTTAAGCTTTTAAGGCAATAATTTTGGTTTAGATTTCGGTTTAGTGGTTATTTGATGTTTGTGCACGCTGATTGGCGTTACACCAGTTTGCTTGCTTCAATACTCTACGCTTGCACTATGCAGATACGAATGGTTTATAGATACCTTGTTTATTATATAAATATTTACTCCTAGAAATCATTTTGAATTTCTCGAAACTTCGTTTTTGTTTTATAAATCATTATCAGTATCAGCTTTCGTCTTCTTTTAGTCCATCGGCTTCTTTCATGCTCCATACACTTCGCATATATTTTATGTGGGGTGTGTATGAAATATAATTATGCAAATATGAATATGATTTTACGTAAACCTAAGCGTTTTTCTTGTTTGTTAAAATATATTCCTCTTTTGTTTTCATTTATAATTGTTTTTTATATTTAGTGTTTATGTGCCTCTGGGTGTTCTGTTTTACGTTGTTTTACAGACACTGTGCACTATAGTTTTTGATTTTGTTTTTTTTTCATTTCTCAGAATTTTTGTTGTCCATTCTTTTTTTATTTTCAACGAGGTTAGTTTAATTTTTAATTTATATTCGACTTGATGAGTTTTTCGCCATATCCTTTGTTAAATTCGCGCCTTTTTGTTTGTGCAAAAGTGCGCTAAAGTCTAAATTAAGCGTTTATGTGCAGAAGTTAACTCGCTAGCCGTGCAGTTACAGTCTGGTATTGTCGGCAGCAGCTTTTAATGACGAATTAGCTTTTCTCTTACTCTTTCTAAGTATATATATATATAAAGAGGCTGGTTATCCTGGCGGCGTTTGCACGTCTTCTTTTCGCTATCATTTGCTTGCATCAAACGCTGTACTTAATTGTCTTAACTTACGAGTGCGTTATATATTTAGTAAATAGTTTTTTTTTTTTTTGTGTTTATATTCTTTTACTTCAATCATTATATATATAAATATATCTTTATTAAGATCATTCAGTATTTTATTGAATTCTTGTTGACTTTCTGTGCAGATTATTGAAAAATCTGAACTGCAGACGTAACTCAAGATCTTTTCTTACTGCAAACACAAAGACAAAAAACATAGAAAGAAACAAAAACAAGTAAATGTTAAACAACGGCAAATCAAAAGGAATGTATGTGCGCGTATGCAAGTCAAGGAAAATAAAGACGCCAGCAAAGTGTGGCCATAACTTGCGCGGTGGGTGGTGGACAAGTACTCGGAACAGAAAGTTGATTATAGAGATATATAGAGGTGGAGACACGGCAATGAACAAAAAACAAACTCGAGAGAGAGAAGTGGTATTGCTGGAGGAGTGGTGTTGACGGGCGGCAAAATATTGAGTCGAGAGTGAAGGATTTGAATATATGGAAAACTCGAGCAAACAAATGAACAAATTCGCATGACGCAGGTTGAATTTTAAGCTCAATAGTAGAGTAAACAGTATTTGTCCAGAACAATAGACAGCAGGTAAGAAAACAAAATTCAACATAATGATATTGTTTCGACGGAAGTGTGCTTGAAGTGATTGCACAGACGAGATGAAGTCTGGTTGAAATGCATAAAATGATGATGTCAAGCTGTTGGAACTTATGGATATGTACATACATATATAGACAATCACCGTTCTTTCATTTATTGTTATTCGATGCCAAATTATTAGATTCTTCAAAACTTTGAGTTAGTTGTTCTAAAACATAACAAAAATCAGAAAAAAAAATTGTCTAAAGAACAGCCGTAATATATATGTACATATACACTTCTACTTGTATAGTCAATCGATAAAACAATATCGATAGATAAAGCACAGTGCAATTAACAATGACAGGATATGAACTTATTTAAAGAACACATAAACAACCCGTCTTGTGACAGAAATAGGCAAACTTTTATAGAAATATGAGAATGTAACAATGGCTATTTATAGTGGAAAAGTAACACAAGATAATCGATGAGTTTGATGTATCTGCATCTTTTTTCTGAAGCTTTAGATGACTTCATAACAAAAACATTAATAACGAGGTTAGTTTACACTTGGAACACATTGTCAGAAGTAACACAACGAAAGTTCCATATTTGATGATGTGGTTGTTGTTGTTGAATGATCATTTGGTATGGATGAAATTGTATTTAGTACAGATGCAGATTTATATACAGAGAACGAAGTAGTGATGCTGACTGATTTGGTTGGTGGTTTGTGTGGACATCTGGTGTGGATATAACTTGGCTGATTTTGTACAAATGTTTGTGTGTTGGCGGTGTCTTTTAGTTTTCATTTTCGATATTTGTTTTGTTTTTAATGTTTTTTTGTTTTTTACAAAAGCAACACACTAACTCACATGAGTGCATTGTAACTGTTGGCACTTTGATTGAACGCCGGTGATGGTGATTGCAATTCGGAGTTGGGTGTCACGGCACGGCTACCCGGCACCACCATATTGTCCGGATCAATTTCAGGGTCAAAGTCATCGCCACCCGCCACATGGTCGGCGTCCTCCTCCAGGTTGAATTCAATGCGTGGCTGCGGCGATGGCGACGGTGAGGAAGATGGCGATGGCGTTGATGCTGGCGGCAGCTCCATATTAGCCGGCACAATCAATTTCGGCAAGTTCGGTTTCAATTTTTGCACGCGTACAACTGTTGTTCGATCGGTGTGTGCGTTGCATTAAGCGATGAGGCGGCGTTTATTATCATTTTTGATTTGTTTAATTTACACGTGTATAAATTTACAAATTTGTGGTTGACAAAGACAGTTTTTGAACAGATAAATAAAAGAAACACTATTAGGAGGTTCTAGTTTAAACAATTTTATACATACAAAATGGGTAGAGTGACGGGTTCAACAAGAGCAACAAATACAGTTAAGAGCGGACTTACATTGAAAGGGAACGAACTACACAACATTTGATTTTTTGAATCAAGTGCGGACTAATTGACAACTGCTTGGATCTAGTGAAGGATGAGCGGGGCAAAATGCATAAAGCAAAGCTTGTGAGTGAAAATTATGAAAACTGTCCCATAGCCAAAGGCAGCATAGATATTTGTGTATATTAGCAAACTAATTTAATTGATGAGATGTATGTTTGGCTGAGTTTGCGGCGCGAGCAGAAGTGATGTAATCGTTTTGAATGAAAAGTCCCCATGATCTATGAAAATGGAGTGAGTGTTTCCATAATTAGATAATAAACATCATGATAAATCGCTGGTCCACTGTTAAATGTGGCAAAATATTCGTTAAAGACCTATTCAACTATATTCTTAGCAGTGTAATAACAACAATAACAGCAACAATAGTAATAAAAACAACGAATTAAGAACACATGAGGCTTCAACAAAAACAATTGAACGATCGATGAACAACGCAGTGACGTTATGTAAATTTGTACATTGGCACATTTTCGAACGATATTTGAGCAAATCACTATTTATGTTGGATATTTGACTTTATGTTAAACGCAGCAAAATTTAGTTGTGGGAGAGAGTAAGTGAACGGGGTAATCAATATTACCTGACGCCAGCAAATGCAATTATTTTTCGATTTTTTTTTTTAAGATTTGAAGGTTAGGAAATTTAAAGAACATTTTTATGTTAAGAAATTAAACAATATTCGTTAGAAATATTTTTATAAGATGCTCGATTCGATTTTGTAATATATATATATAGTTTTTTACTTTTTTTCAATTTGAATTTGCACGAGTTTTCACGCGAGTTCTTTAAATTTCCTTCTCTTTGCGATCGTTGGCATCTTGTATAATATTCAATGCAGCTACAACGGTAGCCGGCGCTGGCAGCAAAGCTGCTGCTGCTTCGTCTGGCATCCGTGGTGGTAGTGCCAAATCAGCATCACCGATTTTTACATCTAACTTATCGCTCTTTGCATTTGCGTCAATATCATTTTTCAATGATTTCAAAATATTAAATTCAGCTGAGCAATTCGATGCACTGATCGCCGAGTCATCTGACTTTTGCTCGGTAGCTGTACCCTGAGCTGTTGCAGCTGTTAATTGAATTTTTTGCTCCAATTCAGTTTCAACGGACGGCATTTTTGCTGCATTGATGGAGACCGTTATTGCTGATGGTGGTGGAGGTGGTGCCTCATTTGTCAACGTTTGCAAATGAGCGGACAAAACTAACGATGGCGATGATAATGGTGGCAATGGCGCGATTTGTGATTCGGATGGCGGTGAGCGCATGAGCGAGCTTTTAGCAGCTACAGATGGTTGTATTTCAGCTGTATGTGAAGAATGTGAAGAATGACATGGTTACAACAATTTCTTTTCGAACCTAATAAATTGTTCTTTTCTTTATATGTAGTATATCAGTATTAAACTTAAACGAGCAGTCAGGGGCAAGTTTAGGCTTCGGAAAATTGAGTGAACTGCACTAAAGCCAACGCTGTTTCACGCAGTCGGAGAAGGCATATATTTGTATATATGTATAAAATCCTTCTATTAAGTGCCTAGAAAATGTGGTGGAGTAACTAACTGAAAACGTGTACTCACTTCTGTCGATGTTGCGCTGCAAATGTGCGGCAACTCTGTGGCGTGCGTCGTTGAACTCCAAATGCAGACCCAATCTGAGCAAAGATGGATTCTTTTCCACCAATTCGGTTATTTCCATTTCGATCTTATTACCGAGCACTGAGGATCGCTGCAAGGCAGTTAATATTTTTTGTTGTTGAATTACATTTGGAATACGGTAATGAGAATGAGAGTACTTACTTGATTGGAGGCCCTGAACTCTTCAATTGTGCGGCACTTGAGCAGGGCTTTCACTAAGGTCACTATAACAGGCGGACTAATGAAATTTGTCTCAACATTTAATACTCTCAGGGTTTTGCTTTTCTCAATTGCTTCAGCCAATAAGAGAGCTGTCTTGTCAGTAAGACCGACATTTGTTAAGGAAAGAACTTCCAAATTTTCATTTTCAGGCAGTACTTGGAAAAGTTGTTCGAATTTCTCATCGGATATGTTCTACAAATTATAGAAATGTTAGTTTGAAGTACAATATAATTCTGAATTTTCTCGGAAATTTATTCAAATACCTTAATGTTATTTAAGTTCAGTTCAATCAATTTTGAATCGTTATCTTTTACGCGTTTAATTGATTCTTCGACATCTGTGTTATTTGGTGGATCCATGGGGAATAATTTTGGTTGAGTTGATTTTGTAATACCATCCCAACCCATGCCAACTGGTTGACCTTTGTTCAACAAAGAAGCATGATATTGGTCCTGATTCATCATCGAGTGGAAGCCAAGAATAGCTGCAAATGAGAAAGCATAACAGATTTTTGATGGTATGAATTTTCAGAAACATTTTCAAATTAAGCATATTTTTTTCAAGACTTGCTAATCTTGGTTGTTTTCACGTACCAGCCAGATCGATAATCTCTTCTTGTGTAGCATCACTCAGCGCATGCTCATACTCCTCACCCAAATCGATGGCGATCTGTTCCTCAGCGGCTACTTCACGGTCATCTCTTGGTGGTGCTACCCATTTTTTGCCACGTACTGTACCCTTAACGTACGGCTCAAATTCGGGCTCATCGGGTGTTTCTAAGGCCTGCTTATTAATATGCTCGATAAGCTTTTTGCGATTCAACGGACCAGTGGGATCTTTGGCGCATTCATAACTGCAACGTTGATCGGGTGGCAGGAAATTGTCCTGAGAAAAGAAAGAATTACAAGTATGTTACCATCAATACGACATATCATTAATGTACATACAGAATTACAACAAAAACACACCCGTAGTGAATAGTTTCATGCAAACTTGATTAGTATATTTTTTAGGCTATGGTTGTACTTTTTTTTTTGTTTAACAGAATGTGTAAAATCAGGTTCCACAATTTTATTATTTCCGATCCTCGCTGAAATGTATGCAGGATTTACTGCGTTTCATGGAGGACTAGTATTTTTACACAATTTTAGATTTTTTGACTGGCGTACACAATTTATATAAATAATTAAATTATAGGAGAATACACTACTTACATCGGGATCGACTTCTTTGGCCAAAATATTGATTTCTTCCGGTGACAATTGTGCCAGCAGAGCATCAACATCCACCTCATCATACTCGCTCAAATCCTTGCCATACAATTTGGCAGGCGTAGTGAGAGTGGTAGTCTTGGTTGTCGATGAGGTCTGAAAAGATAAAAAGTAAAAAACAAAAACATTAAATTTGGCATCAACAAATGTCGAAATCAAAATAAACACATGATTAAATTTTTATTTGAGTTTGCAATGTTGAAGCGAATGCCAACTTTTTTCAGCGCCAAAGTGGTCGGCGGTTGCGGTGCGCGTCTTTTCACTTTCGGCACTGGACGCAACTTTACTCTCTGGAACTCAGCCACCACTGACGGTGGTTCTAGTGGCTTTGTGGACGAGTCCATGAGCGGCCTTTATTAAATAGCTTTAATATTTTATAAACACTGCTTTGATTATGAGCTTGTTGCGCGCAGCGTACGCTACTCGGGTGAATACTTGGAAATGTAATAAACGTTTGGCGCAACAAATTACTGCTTGCCTTCGAAAAAGAGGCGTTGCAGGTACATAAGTAAGGAAATATGTGAAAATTTATAAATCAATATTGCATTTCCTCATATATGCGTCCAGTACAAAAACTAATCCAATTAAGTCGAAAGCTTGAAGTGTTTACCTACCATTTGGCAGCGCAAGAGAATGAATCATTCAATGTGATCAACGGAAGACTGTGGAAACTGTTGACGCTTTCGTGGGTAGGGAATGCGCACCTTCGCTTGCCGTCAAAGTTCAAATGCGACTGACTGTCTAGTCGGCGACAAGAAATCTATTTCAGGTCGGCCGCTTTAACGATTTGTGTCTTTGGTTTTGGTCGGCAAACTTCCACAACGAAACCTTCAACAAAGCAAAGCCAGCTCGAAAACGGGCAAATGAAAAGGGTTCGGCGGTCATTGTTCATGCTCGAGTGAGGTGGAGTAATAATGACGACGGCAATGCTCGGCACGCTTAGTTAACGCAGTTCGTCTGTAGTACTGTCGTGAGTTACATAGTCAGTCACACATAAGATTTAGCTTAGCAGTCAGCGGAAATTAAAATGAGGCATTGCGGATCAGCGAGCAAGAGTCGTCAAACCACTAGTGAACCTACCAAACAATAACAATGCATGCTCATACTCGCCAAATGCCATGCGGCTGCACCCGAAATGCTTGATCACAAGCACATTTGTAGATATGACCTAAGGTTGCACAATAAGCAGCTGCGGCCGCGCAGCGAGTTTGTTGAGACCCTACATAGAGGCGAATACAGTTAAAGGTTTTATTGCTACTTTTGTGACTCAGTTTTCTGCTGCGGCGATGCATGGCATCAGCAGGCGGCTGGTGGACTCAGTGAGGCTGGCAACGCAAGTAAGCCAAACTTCAAACCTAAATTACATATATACATATACAATATTTAGTTGTGGTTCTTTGAGTTCAAGAGCCTCATTTGAACTAGTGACTGCCAAAGGCTGGTTAAAGCGAGCATGGCGAGCATCAGTATTTTGTTTTTATTATGTGGAAGGGAAGTGGAGCTAATAAAATGGAAATCGAGAGTTAAATAATGTCAGCATTCAGAAGCCAAGTCAAAGCGAGTCAGTTGAGCACAGGCATACTTCAGAGCATAAGTTGCATGTGTGGGCTACATAGTAGTTTAGTGGGGATTCACCTAAATATATTACTATTAATAAATATATACATATATGGGTATATAGAACGTTCTCATGCCAGCGACTTCCTCATTCATATCCATTTGCTATCCAACAAACCCTTGCAAGAGGCTTCAATGCTACCTCGATTAAAGTTTATACTTCGGATAACCCTCAGCAAGCACGCATTACAATCCTCATGAAACAGTGTGTAAGAGGTCTTTAATTTGCATGCAACCTACTCACTAAGTATCAACCAAAGTTCAAGTAGCGTGACAAAAGCGCTTGAATTGTTAAATCGTGATATTGCCACGATCGGCGATCGAATTCGACATGCAACGTTAGCTAAAAAGCCGCACGAAGAGTTACTGGCCAAACATAATTTGCTGCACTGCATAAGTATTTATGCGCGACTGTTCATGCTACATTTATTTCTTGCAGACACTAAATGCTAACTTGTTTCGAAAACATTGCGGTAGTTGCGACCCCTTACATCCGTTCTCAAGCCCATTTGGAGTCCGCAGACCAGTCGCTTTGAACGTTTTAAATTCATCGAGCGTGACGCAATCAAAAGCGACCTTAAATGGCAATCTTCGTTTAACAGGCGCGCTACAATCCCATTGACTTCTGCATCGCTTACTAGCAATTTTTTCCCCCACATTTTTAATATGTACAAACAGGGTGCCGCGAGGCTTAATATATAGCAAACATTTGATTAGGGTATTTCATAGCGGAAAACTGCACTATGTCGATTTGACAATATTTTGGGCGGTCTTAAAGTGGAAGGCATAGACCTACGAAAAAGCTATTCGCTATTGTAAGAGGTGTGTTCAAAAATTAGCGTTGTCTAAATTGTTAAAATATTTATTCAATATGTTGATATACATGCCACTTCAGCTGTATTCATTGCATACTCTGTCTGCAGCGCCGCTAAGGTTAGACCTGTTTTTATGAGCTTGGCAATTTTCGTTCGTTAATAGAAATGTATTAAATAACTTGTTCGTGAATTCTTGGCCAAAAACAATACGGTAACGATACCCTAGTCTCCCTATACGCCAGACCTGGCTACGTGTGACTCTTTCCTATTTCCAAAAATGAGATGAGATTAAAAGCGCAACGCTGGAAGAACTAAAGGCTATATAGCATAAGTGCATATTATGGCATGCGAACTATAATATTTTGAGGGCGACAGCATTAATGTAGAACATGAAACTAACAAATATTTTCTTCAAATAAACGAAAATTCTCGCTATTTTTTTAAAAATCGTATGTACAATATATGTTTAATTTCTTTAAATGAAAAAAAATCAGTTCGTCAAATTTTTTATAGAAAAAATAGGGTGGCTCACCCTGTATATGGATGTACGTAGCTGTGCATGATCATAAACAACTGAAATTCAGACTCAGGTGTAAACATCTTTTTTTGTTGTTTTTTTTTGTTGTTGTTATCTGTTTATGTTGTCTTTGCTTGCGTCTTTTATTGTATGAGAAAAAAATTATTGTATTCATGTTCTTTACACCACCAACTCATACTGTGTCCAACTAATAAGCAGCGCGTAAAACCGGTTCGTGTGAAACATACAAGTAAAAAGATAACAATAAATAATACATAGTAATCAAAAGTAGTGAGTCGACAAGCCCCACGTTCGAGTACTTGAAAAGCGGTAATGACAGCGACGTCATCTCAGACAGCCAAAGCTGGGTAAACGAACTGGTCTTGTAGTTTTTGTTCATAGAAAATTGACCCATATATGTTGGCTACAATATTTATGGAAAATATACGCAAGTAAATTCGTAAACAAACGGTAAACAGGTGGTAGGCAAGTTCGAAAAATTCGAATTTATGTTGATAAGTTAATTTTGTCTCATTCAGTATGGCCAGACCTCATGGTTTCTTAGCTAATGATGCTCGATTAGTGACTACAAATTTCGGAGAGAAGGTTTTAGTTACCACTCAATTGGCTCTATGAAATGTCCGTCACACTATATCGATATTGGGCCAAAAATGGGGAAATTTACATTAATTATTAGAATAAAATAATTACAATACGAACGTATAATTAAGTCTTCATTTGTAAGCTTTATCATTATAAATGTCAAACGTGTGCTCATCACTGTATGTCTTCTGCGTTCAAAAACATGTTTATGTATTTAAACAACAGTTTTGCTTTAAATTTTGGTTATTTCATTATAAATCATTTTAAACTATCGAACCCAGGCGCTTATATTAATAAAATATAATTATAATACCACAACAATAGGTGTGTTCGCCAACCGATAGATAAATAATACAGAATTTTATCATTAATTAGTAACCTAAACAAGATTTATTATTTAACAACTGAAGCTAAATACTAAAAATAAGCAATCACTCTGCTAAGCCTTGAGACAGCTCTGAATGTTGAACAAGAACGCTCTTGAAAGCTGCCAAATAGCGGGGTAGTCATATGTACATAGGTGTGGCGTGTCCTTGAGCATAAAAATGAAAAGGCAACGATTTTGCATTGAAGTCAAAAGTAATGCATTTATTGCAATATTTACAAGCTAAATGCTGCGATGCGGCAGTTATTGCAAGTGCGGCTTAATTATATTTCTAGCATCGAAAGGTGAGTTATTTGCATGCATTTTTTTATTACAACGAGCAAATATAGTGTTTATGCCAGAAAAGCTTCGGATTACAGAGCTTACGTGGAGTCTATATGTTGTGATGCCTGACCGCTGCAAATGGTGTTTGAGCGCTGTGAATATGCATTTTGTTGAATATGCAAAATTGACGTGTTGCAAACAAGTAGCAATTGAGCTCATGGTCTAATCAAACGTGAGACAGCACACACATGCCCAGATATAAATGCTTTCATAAATTTAATACATAAATCACGCAGACTAAAACGGGAAAAAACAAACATTGAGGACAACCAGTTGATCTGAGGCATACAACAACAAATGCAACTGCAAACACGACTTTTATGAAAATTGCAATCGCGCGAATATTTACACCGTTGACCCAGAGACTACCGCAGTTAGATGAATGTTAGAATATCGTGTCAAATTGGCACTCTCTGTGCCAATTTTTAGCAAGGGTCTACACTGTTTTTACAATTGCTTGGCAAACCTTCAAGTCGTTTCACCCACTAACTAAATAATATTTATGGAAAAATTATAATCAAGCGATATTAATAGCATTTTTGGTAAATTAAAATTTAATTCGAAAAATTTCGAAATTCGCATTTGTAGGTAGACTAACCAAAAGCAGGCTTTTATGACTCTCTGACCGCTCTTCTAAGCTCGTTTACCTTTATCATTATTAAAGAAATCAGGAATATCCTTGACTTCAAGGTTCTTTAAATATTTTTGAAGTGAAACGAAATTCCAATGAAACACCGAATCGGTTGCACCGAAGCTAAAATACCCTTCACAAATCCAAAGTTAACTACAAAAACTTGATTCTGATTGTTCAGTTTGTAAGGCAGCTATATAATAT